TGAGACTCTGTAGGGACTTGTGAGCCCACAAATTCTTTTCTACATAGAGCAAGTAACTAAGGATGCCATTTTATGTAAGAGCCAACATGTGTACACACTAGGGCCTGAAGCTTTGTATCTTACTTTGCAGTCTGTGGCCAGTTACTTCGGGTTAGAACACCCCAGATTAGAATGAAGCGGAGCATCCAGATGGCTTCAAGGGTGGGTTTCAGGTACCTCTGCTCCTTGGTCACTGAGGGCTCCCACCAGAACAGTGTAGGCCAGTCTGTAAATAGCCATCCCCACTTTAGAAAGCACTTGCGCCGCACTAAACACTTAGGTATCTCTGATTCATGTCCTGCTAGTACTGGGAAAGACTTCAGTTAAGCCAAACTCCGTAATTTAACAACTGAGAAAATGAAATTGTTAAAAGATAAGCAACTTGCCCAAAGTCATACTGCCAATGAGAACAGCTAAGTCTCAAAATCATGTCTCCAGACTCCTAGGACAGTGCTCTTTAAAGCATACTGTGACATTCAGTAATATTCTTGGTGCCCTATCCAGCTTTTAGTTCTTGAACTCCTGGCCTCAAGCAATCCTTCTGCCTCAACCTCCCAAAGTGCTGGAATTACAGGCGTGAGCCACCACATCTGGCCCTATATTATTATTTACATCTTTTTGTGCATTAGAGGTATTTCCTAATAAATTCAAATAAATTCGTACATAGAAATATTAATAAATGTGTCACCTGTCCTTAGTTCATTAGATTATATGATGATTCTTCAAGTTATATGCTCTCATGCCCTGTCTGATTCCATCTGGGGAATTTGCACTCCTCCCCCACCTTAAATCCAGCTCTCTTCTCCACTGAGAATTCTCTCCCTCCCATCTGTGGCTGAGATTAAAGATCTGCACCTGAAGCACTGGAGAATGTGTGGGTAATTAAATTCCTGGAGATGCTGATTACCTGATTACCCTGCTGATTACCTGGAGATGACCTCAGAGATTATCCTAAATTAACCCCTACAAGATATACATTTCAGCAGGAGATGAGGTAGGGGAAGGACTGTGCACCTGAGGCTAGCAAAGGTTTCCACTCTGAGTGTTTAGAGATGGTGTTACCAGTGTATTTGCCTTTGTGTTGTGCTCACACATTGAGTGCTACTATGTACAAGACCATGTGTCAGACACTGAGGTAACAGGTATGGTCACTAGATAGAATTCATAGCTATGGAGGCAAGCAGATTCACTGACTGCTAATTCTAACCTGATGTGACAGTGCAACTAGAAAAACATAAACAAGCACTATGTGAGCACAAGGAAGGTGCACATCAACTCCTTACAGGTACCTGTAAAAGCCAAAGGGTAACAGTTGGGTTGCACCTTGAAAAGGATGTACTTTTTTTTTTTTTTATTTTTATTTTTAAGACAGTCTCACTCTGTTGCCCAGGCTGGAGTGCAGTGGGGCAATCTGGGCTCACTTCAACCTCCA